ACCAAAGTTTATAAGAAAGTAATAGTTAAAGAATATATAATACTGGTATACATTAATTTTGGTGACTCTTAACCCATCATAATGAGTATTTGTTTTTTATCATATTATTCAAAAATGTCAGCAGGGTATTTGTTTCATTAATATTGATATTAATATTAAAATATTTATTGTTTTTATTATTTTTGAAATAAATACATTTCAAGATCGATAAATATATAGGGAGGTGATTTTAAGATTTTACACATATTAATTACTCTTTTAAAATCCTTGGGTAATAAAATCCTCACAAATAAATATTATAGTTTTTAAAAGCAATATGTTTTACTACTTGAGTATAATTAATATTTCAAAATTAAATATTTTTTCAAGGTCAATGTTTCCAAACTCCAAATTTACTACTTCACTTTATCAATTAAGATTAAAGTTAATTCTTTATTAAATACTACTATTATAAATTAATTTTTAATGAATACATGATATGCTATTTATTGGTAGTGAGAGAATGCAATCCGAGTTTTCTATTTAATAGGTTATTTTTATGCTCAACACACAGCTAGGCTTACTTTGACTACTGACTTATGGTTGATTCCACTATCTTACGACACCAAGTCTAGATAGTTCCAAATATATGACACACAGCTAGGACTTACTTTGCCTACTGACTTATGGTCAATCACTTCTTTTATCTTACAATACACAGTCTAGATAAAAGATCCCTAAGTTGTTTAGCTATCTATATCCCGAAGGCATCCCCTTGAGAAATATCTCAATAATTAAGGTTGTGGTTTCTTGCTGGATTCAGCAAAGGTTTCCCTCTGTTGTTTACTAATTAAGTCAAAGACCCTCTATTAATATATAAAAAACCGCTAAACCCGTTAAATCAAGATAAAATAACTATAAAAAAATTCTGTTCCGAAATTTTATCCGTTAAACCCTTAAATCCACTAAATCAAAATCCGCTAAATCGTGTTTCACTGTGTATGCGGAATTAAAACGTACCTTTTCAGTATGTTGCAAACTCCGTACTGTTTTCGTATCAATTCCGTAATTTACACTAAATTTGAAAGGGTAATTTTTCAAAACCGTACTAGTATAATAATAAGAGATACGTTACTTCCGTATGTATATTTTTAAAATCGTATTTAACTTACGTTAATTCCGTATTTTATTTTTCATAGGGCTAATGCAGACAATTTTCTTTGTACATATGCATTAGATTACCATAAGAGCAAAAAGACTCGAGTTTTTAATCATAAAAATTTGATTGGTAATTCAAATTCAGTGAAGCACTAATTAGTAAAAACGCGTCTTTTAATCTTCTTTTCTGAAAGAGTTAAGGATTATTTTCATGCAAGATTGGTAAATTACATATTTATTATATTTATTACTAATTCTTTTGTCTGTTCATTAGATGGTTTGAGGGTGACTATTTGCAATTATTGGCCCGTGTGGATGGGAGGTCCCATCCGTTAGGTATTATTTTTTTTTTTGTCATTTTTTTATTATACATCTTTTTAATCATTATAAATCTAAAATATTTTCATTATTGTTATATTATTTCCATTTATAGAATGATCTTTTATAGTCACGTGACCAAACAGCTGCGTGACCGAGCAATTTTTGATTGGAAATTTTTCTCAAAACTTCGCAGAGACGCAGTAAGCAGCGTCTCGCACTGCTATTCATTTATAGACGGATCGTCAATTAAATCCTTAGGTTTTACTACAAAAAGAAATGTTGTGTTATTTACTCAATTTTTTTTTTATTAAAAAGTTAAAATGTCTTATGTTAAGTTATTAACACGAGACAGAAGAGAATTAGTACTTAAAATTTATAATGAAATGCATAGTATTGCTTATTCTGCTTCTCCAACTGACAGAGAACATTATAAAAGTTATTTTTTTACAATTAATCAAAGAAAACAAAGAACTATTAGAAAATGAAAAGGAATATTGTAGAGAAAGGTTTATTTATGAAATGGAATTAGATAATGCAATTAAGAAATATGGCAAACCAAGAAAATGCAATAATTGTAAAACAACAAGATACTCTGATAAATATTGTGAAAAGTGTATTAGTCTACACTTACAGAGCCTTTTCAGCACTTGGACATCTGGAAATGAGATAATTGATGGTTTTATTCAAAAATGTCAACAGCTTTCATCTCTTCCAAAGCATATTATAGAATGGATACCTTATGAGCAATTTCATGACATAGAAAAATTAACAGAAGGTGGATTTAGTTCTATTTATACTGCTGGGTGGACAAAAGGAGCTATTGTTGATTATGATGAAAATAAAAAGGAGCTTAATTATTTTGGACATCAGATTGTAGTATTAAAACCATTAAATAATTCAAGTAATCCAGGAAAACCTTTTTTTGATGAGGTAATTGTTCTTATTTAAAATAATTCATTTATTTTAAATTATTAATTTTATTTATATAATTCATTTATTTTAAATTATTAATTTTATTTATATAATTCATTTATTTTAAATTATTAATTTTATTTATATAATTAATTATTAATTTCAGGCATTGAATTATTGTAAAATTAAAGCAAATTTAATTATTCCTTGTTATGGTATAACTAAATTCCCAGAAAATGGAAATTATGCAATGGTTCTTGCTTATGCACAAGATGGAAATTTAAGAGATTATATACAAAAAAATCATTATAATTTAACATCAAAGGATAGAATTAATCTTTTTAATTCTTTATGTAATGCATTATATCGTATATATGAAAAAGATTTAATTCATTGTGATTTACATAGTGGTAATATATTATTGCAAGGAGGTGCTTGTTATATCACAGATTTTGGATTATGTGGTCCAGTTGATGAAAAATCATCAAATAAAATCTATGGAATTGTACCTTATTGCACCAGAACTATTTAAAGGAAAAAAGCACACAAAAGAAACTGATGTTTATAGTGTTGGGATGTTAATGTGGGAAATATTTGCAGGTCATCCACCATTTGATGATGAGGCACATGATATTCATTTGCAATTAAAAATATGTGAAGGTTTACGTCCACCAATATTACCAGGAATGCCTAGTGATTATGTACAATTGATGCAAAGATGTTGGGATGAGGATCCAACCAAGAGACCAACTATCAAAGAGCTTTGGGATTTTGCACAATATAAATTTAAAACTGAAAATCTTAATGAAAGTAGTAGTAGTAATAATATTAATAATAGTAATTTACAACAAATTCACAAATCACATCCATTAGCATATCATACAAGTAGAATATTAAATGATGAATTTGCTAAATTGCATTTAAGTAATGATAGCTTATTAAATTATGAAATATGATTTAATAAATAATTAGTTAGTTAATTGAAATTTATAATTATTTATTAATGATATAATAGATAATAAGTAGTTGATAAGGTTAAAGTTGGGGAATTGGGTGAATTGTTGATGGGTAGATACTATTTATTAATTATTCTTTATTATCTTTTATTATCTTTTATTATCTTTTTATTTCTCCCGCCTCTTTCTTTTTTTCGTTGGTATTTATTTTATTAAGGAAAAATTTATTTTCCACAATTTGAATAAAATTTTCAATAAAACACCTTGTAAAGAATAAATTTTCAACAAACCAATACTAATATGAATAAATTTCACATTTATTTAAAGTTCCTGAACTTATTGATCATTGTTGTTTGTAAAAATTACTTATGATAGAAATATTATTATGATGTGAATAAAAAAAAAGTATTATTATGTTAAAATAATTAGCATTTGCTCATATGATACATTGAATTAACCTTCCCTCATGTAATGCTACCCATTACAGATTTTTTTGATTCATGATCAATGCTCCTAAGGCAAATCTAAAAATCTTTGGTCACTTTGAACAATCTAAAATATCACTACTAGTTGAAAACGAAATATTGTTATCATGCAATATATTTATAGATTTCTGAATAAATACTTTCTTCGCTCGCCATGGACGTTTTACAATTAAAGATAGAAGCTCTTAAAACAAATCTCCCAATTTTTAGCGATCTAATGCCACATGATAGGTGAAAACCTAACCTTCATTATGATTTAAAACCATTGATGGCACAAATAAAAGAAAATTCGATTTCCAAATATATGTTTACTTCGCCTACCATGGACGTTTTTCATTTAAACAAACCTGTTAATTTTTTGTCATTGAAATTGGTCAATAAAAACACACCGAATATATGAATAATATAAAGTAAAAAACTTACATGCATAAGAAAAATTACTTTGCTTGCTCATGTACGTATAGATATTTTATAAGATGAAATTAAGGATTGTTTATTTCCTCTTTAAATTCATTACTAGTAAATAATAAACATACATGAAAAATTCCTACGCACAACTTTTTTTGAATGAAAATGGGTTTATTGTTTCGTCATTTTATCTTGTTTTCGTGCCTCCCAAAAATTTCAGTTCATAAACAAAGCTTCCCAGCAATAGCTATTGAAATTTCTATATAGCAAAGGTAAAATGGTTGGGTAGGAATTTAAACTTTTCCAAAAATCAAGACGAGTTGCGTGACACCGATCTCATGCAGGTTCAAAAACTCTATTTTTGGTACTGATTTACATAATAAAAAGCCGCTATATTGATTTTTGTGTATAATTAATATAAATAATGACAACCTTTGGATAAACAATTCGGTTTTGTTGTTGATGATAATATCGATCGGTCGGTATTAGAGCAGAGCAAGGATAGTTTGATGATATGTTGATATTGATGTAAATTATTAGTAGAATACATTTGTTGTAATGTCTACTTTTTGAGTTGAATGAACATTTCATTGTTGTTGTTGCTCATGATTACTAGCAGAAGCCATCTTGAGCTGGATTTGTCTTGTTTTCATCTTTAACCTTATTCACGAAACGTTTTTATTTTTTAGAATTTTGAATTTTATTTATTATTTTTTTTTTCGGAAATCGTTTCTAAATTTGCCAATTTGGTTTCCCTCATGATTATTAGTTATCAATTAATATTAATATATCTTTTGGTGGTCTATTGTACAAAGGTGGAAGTCTTGGTAATCAATATTAATATTAATATTTTTTGTCGACTTAATTGGTTTTTTTAAATTAAAAATACTTGAGTAATTATTTTTTTTTGTTTCATACATAAAAACAGTAAAGATTTTTCCTTATTTAATAGCACTTGTGTAACGGCCCAATAATTAAAACCGATTGATCCGAAACACATTGTAATAGGAATAAATGTACTAGTATAATAGTAATAATTATTATTTTTATACACGCCCATATTTAATATTAATGAATTTTATATAAAGCACACAGAAGTATTTTTTTTTAATTAATATTAATTCTTTCCCCTTTTTTTTTTCCTTCTTCCATCCAACTTTTTTTCATAATTTTCTTCTTCACTTTCTCCTCTTTAATTTCTTTTTATATTTTTACCAAACATATAAATAATATACTGTTTATATTATTTATTCGTCATAGCTCCTTTTCCATTCTTTTTATTAACAATAACATTAATCCATTTTTTATAATTTCGCTTGATGCGTAATTTGTAGATAGTTAATAATAAATAAACATAATCATAAATAAAAAAATGTCAAGATATCCAAATACAGATTATTATCCATCTAATAATAATAATAATAATGGCCATTCCACCAGATACAATAATAATCGTTTGCCATCACCAACTTCACCACCACCACCACCTCAATACAATAATAGACAAAATGAATATTATAATAATCAACAACCACAAGAAGACTATGCAGTAAATGGCGATTATAATTATCAGATTGATGATAATAATTATAATAATAATTATTATCACATTGATGATAATAATTATAATAATAATAATAATTATGTTGATGATAATATTTATAATGATTATCATAATCAGGCACCAGTTCCTTCTTATAATGGAGGGCAACCAATTCACAATATCCAACGCCAACCTACTTATCCTGCAAATCATCAAATTGTTGATTTGCGTCAGAACGATTTAGCTGCAAAAGCAAACAAAAGAAAAGTAATTATAAATATTTAATTAACAATTAATCGTGAATTAAAAACCTAACATCACAGAAAACATTCTAACCTCTAAATTGTTATTACTTTTTTTTTTTTTTCTAGTCAGTTAGACATGTAGAATTAACTAAAGGAAATTTAATTCTTGATTGTCCAGTTCCAGACAAAATACTACGTAATGTCCAATATACAACTGGCGAAGAATTTACAAGTATGAGATATACCGCTGTAACATGTGACCCAAATGATTACATCAAAAACAATTATTATCTTCGTCCTTACATTTATGGACGTAAGACTGAAATCATGATTGTAATGACAATGTACAATGAAGATGATCAATTATTTATTAAAACAATGTCTTCAGCCATTAAAAATGTTGCTCATCTTTGTTCAAGAGATCGTTCAAAAGTCTGGGGAAGTGAAGGATGGAAAAAAATTGTAGTGGTGGTGGTGGCTGACGGTCGTAATAAAATTAATAAAAGAGTCTTGAAAGTTTTAGGTGCCATGGGCGTTTACCAAGACAATATCATGCAAGATAGTGTGGCTGGAAAACCTGTTACTGGACATTTGTTCGAGTACACTTCTCAATTGTTGGTTGATAGTGAATTCAATATTCACGGATCAAATAAAAAACTTCCACCAGTTCAAGTATTGTTTTGTTTAAAAGAGAAAAACGCAAAGAAATTAAATTCTCATCGTTGGTTCTTTAATTCTTTTGCCGCTCAGTTAAATCCAAATGTTTGTATTCTACTCGATGTTGGAACAAAGCCTTCTCATACTTCTGTTTATCATTTATGGAAAGGTAAATTAATAATGATAATAATAATAATTACTGAATGATGGGGGGGTTATTACTTATTAATTACTAATTTATTTATTGGGGTTTTTAATTTTTTATTAGCATTTGATCGTGATCCATCAATTGGTGGTGCATGTGGTGAAATTAAAGCAGAACTTGGAACTGGATGGAAAAATTTGATTAATCCATTAGTAGCATCTCAGAATTTCGAATACAAAATGTCAAATATTCTTGATAAACCATTAGAATCTGTTTTTGGTTACATTTCTGTGTTACCTGGCGCTTTTTCTGCTTACCGATACAAAGCTTTATTAAATACTTCCCCTGGTAAAGGTCCTTTGGCCTCTTATTTCAAAGGTGAGGCTATGCACGGAGCTGGCGACGCTGGTATTTTCGAAGCTAATATGTACTTGGCCGAAGATCGTATCCTATGTTTTGAACTAGTTGCTAAAAAACATGAAGGTTGGAAATTAAAATATGTCAAGGTTTGTTTACATATAAATACTTTTGTGTGTGTGTGTGTGTAAATATTAACATAATATAATCATTGTCAATATTATCAATATTATTATTATAATTAACTTTTTTCATTTTATTGTTATTGCTTAAATTTAGTCTGCAAAAGCTGAAACAGATGTGCCGGATAGTGTTCCTGAATTTATATCACAACGTCGTCGTTGGTTAAATGGATCTTTCTTTGCTGCATTTTATTCAATTGCTCATTTCACTCGTATTTGGAGTTCCGGCCAACCAATCCATCGAAAATTTTTACTACAAATTGAATTCATCTACAACGCCATCAATCTAGTATTTAATTGGTTTGCTTTGGGAAACTTTTATTTGTCATTTTTCTTTTTAACATCAGCAGTAACAGCCGACCCTGCAACGGACCCTTTCAGAGGGTTTGGCGATGAATTATTTGACATTGTCAGATCACTTTACATCATGGTCATAGTAACGATATTTATTAGTTCCATGGGTAACAGACCTCAAGGTTCCAAATTAATCTACACATTGTGTATTGTATTATTTGCCTTGATCATGGCAACCATGTTATATTGTGCAGGATATACAGTTTATTTGAGTGTAATAAAAGATAATACTATCAATTTCAAAAAGCTACAATCAATCAAAGAAGCATTAAGCAAAGCTGCGTTCCGTGATATCGTTATATCACTTGCGTCAACATATGGATTATACTTTTTCTCATCATTTATTCACGGAGAACCATGGCACATGATAACATGTTTAGTACAATACATCTTATTGGTACCATTCTATGTAAACATTTTGATGGTTTATGCATTTTGTAATACTCATGACGTTTCTTGGGGAACAAAAGGTGATAATGGTACTTCCGGTGATTTGGCCGTCGCTCAACCTGTTGCTGGTAAAGATGGTAAAAAATTGCTGCAAGTCGAGGTGCCAACAGAACGTAAAGATATCAATGCTGCTTATGATCATCTAATCAGTGATTTGAAAGTTAAAGTTCGCGAGGAAAAACAACATAGAGATGCTGCCACCAAAAAAGAAGATTTCTACAAGTTATTTAGAACTAATTTGGTTTTGGTATGGATGTTTACAAATGGTTCGTTGATTGTATTCTTTACATCAAACACATGGAAAAATTATGTCGCAGAAAAAAATATCAATGGTGCTTATAATCCTTATCTTACTTTTGGTAAGTTTTTTTTTTAATTAATTATTTTTACTGTTGTTTTCTGAATTGATTGATTTATGTGAGTGAGGAAAAAAAAAAAAACAAGAAAAATATTAATCATTTTATTTTAAATTTTTATTTTCAGTATTTTGGTCTGTTGCTGGATTATCTGCATTCAGAACATTTGGCACTGTGTGGTATTTGATCCACAGAGCAATATTTGGTTAACACCACCATTAATATTAATAGAAAACTTATTTTTTATTTATTTGTAATAATAATTTTTTGATAGAATTTATATATTATAATAATGTATAATTTTTACAAATTTTTTTAATTTTTTTGTTTATATTTATATATAAATAAATATACACACATACATACAGTATATTAATATAAATTAATCTCTCAAAATGATCTTTTATTTTTTTGAAAAAAAAAAAGGATTTGTTTATCTAATTAAACAAATACTATGATAAATTATAAAAGTTTTGGCTTGAAACAATATTCAAAACCATTCACTGGTAAAGAAGGTTTATCCAACCAATTCATTTTGTTTGTCATCATTCATTGGTGACAATTTTGTACATGAAAATAAATAAAATGTGAATTTGCAATTCGCATATATGAAAATTAAGTTAGTCAATCTAAAGGAATTTCGCACCTTCATATCTAATTATAGATTACAATTCCACATTATGCCAAATTATATCAGCCACAAATAAATAATATGCTTCTTTAAATCTTTAGAAGTTGAAGGAGTTTTTTTATTTGAAAATTTTGACTTCTCTCGCCTTTGACATACCTCCTCCTATGGCTAGTAACTACATTTTTGCAATTGAATTGCGGGCGATTCAATATATCCATCCGGTTCATCATATGCATTTGTAGCTAAATATATATATATTAATATATTATTACTTTTTTAAAAAATATATACATGTATATATATATTATTTCTTTTTTAAATATGTATGTGTGTGTGTATACATTACATATTCCGCTTTTGAATCCAACAAAACATTGATGATTGTTAAAATAAAGAGCAAAATCACCGAAAACATTAGACACTTCTCCTTGATTTAAAAGTTTATCAAAATTGTACCGAGTATGAAGAGGTGCTAAACCAAATTAAATGGACCATCACAAGAAGAGGAGTATCGTCAACATTACAACAATACCAAATCATGGGAAAATGCTTGGGACAGAATACAACAGGAATATCAGGATATTTGGGGGAGGACGGAGTCCTTCTTCGGTGACTTCAGAGTAGAATACTCAAACCGAACAAGAATATATCGATGCTCCAAATACGGCATTCGAAGAAAGCGGAGAAGCAATTATTAATAAATAAATTGCCAAAATTATTAGACCTTAGCATTAGGAAACACCAGTCGTATCACAGAGTATCAAATTCATCATCTTCTCACAAAGTTCATATTCCAGTCTTGAAATTCCACCTCTTGTGATTGACTGATTTATTTTTACTTGATTAAGCCAAACCATATTATTTTATGTATTAACCTAGCGATTTAATAATACAAAAGTTTTTCACGCTTTATTTTTTAATCATGTGATTTTTATTGTTCTCATGTTGGGTGCGCCCGTTCAATTTTATACGCTGGTTAAAACTAATGAGAATTACTAAAAAAAACAATAACAATAAAATGAAAAAAGTTAATTATAATAATAATATTGATAATATTGACAATGATTTTATTAAATGGACCAGATGTCCGGGATTTTGATTTTGAAAAAGCATATAAACATTGGGCAAACAAAAAAAGAAGAAATAGTTGTTATTAATTGATTTTTATTTTTATTAAAATATTATTTTATTTATTTATATACTGTAATTAAAAAATTTATTTTATTTATTTGTTTAATTAAAAAATTTTTTTGATGATCATAAAAATGTGCGCATTTATTATGTAACACAAACCCCGGCATAAAATTTCCAACACTGCTTAGGTTTTACAAATACCACAAAAAAAAAATATTTTTTATTAAAAATGTCCTTTAATAATTTATATAATTTATTAACACAAGACAGAAGAGATTTAGTACTTAAAAGCTGCAATGAAATGGACGGTATTGCTCTATCTGCTTTTTCAACTGTTTCTGACAGAGAAAATAGAAAAAGATATTTTTTACAATTAGTCAAAGAAAACAAAAAACTATTAGAAAATGAAAAAGAATATTGTAGAAAAAGGTTTATTTATAATTTCGAATTAGATAATGCAACTAATAAATGGGATGGACCAAGAGAATGCAATAATTGTAAAACAACAAGATACTCTGATAAATATTGTGAAAAGTGTATTAGCCTACATTTACAGAGCCTTTTCAGCACTTGGACATCTGGAAGTGAGATAATTGATGGTTTTATTCAAAAGTGTCAACAGCTTTCATCTCTTCCAAATAGAATTATAGAATGGATACCTTATGAGCAATTTTATAATATAAAAAAATTAACAGAAGGTGGATTCAGTTCTATTTATACTGCTGGGTGGACAAAAGGAACTATTGTTGATTATGATGAAAACAAAAAGGAGCTTAATTATTTTGGATTTCAGGATGTAGTATTAAAATCATTAAATAATTCATGTAATCCAGGAAATCCTTTTTTTGATGAGGTAATTGTTCTTATTTAAATTAAAACCATTTATTTTATTTTAAATTAACTAACTTTATTTATAATTAATTTCAGGCATTGAATTATTGTAAAATCAAATCAGGAACAATTGTTCCTTGTTTTGGTATAACTAAACTCCCAGAAAATGGAAATTATGCAATAGTTCTTACTTATGCACCAGAGGGAAATTTAAGAGATTATATACAAAAAAATCATAATAATTTAAGATTAAAAGATAGAATTACAATATTTAGCTATTTATGTAATGCATTATATCATATACATGAAAAAGATTTAATTCATTGTGATTTACATAGTGGTAATATATTATTGCAAGGAGGTGGTTGTTATATCACAGATTTTGGATTATGTGGGCCAGTTGATGAAAAATCATCAAATAAAATTTATGGAATTGTATCTTATATTGCACCTGAGCTACTTGGTGGCAAAATTAATGTGAAATATACAAAAGAAACTGATGTTTATAGTGTTGGGATGCTGATGTGGGAAATATTTGCAGGTCATCCACCATTTGATGATAGAGCACATGATGTTCATTTGCAATTAAAAATATGTGAAGGTTTACGACCACCAATATTACCAGGAATGCCCAATGATTATGTACAGATGATGCAAAGGTGTTGGGATGCAGATACAGCCAAGAGACCAACTATTAGAGAGCTTTTTGAATTTGCACAACATAAATTTAAAACTGTAAGTCTTAATGAAAGTAGTGGTAATATTGGTGGTGGTAGTAATAACAATAGTAATTCACAACAAATTCACAAATCACATCCATTAGCATATCATACAAGTCGAATATTAAATGATGTAAATGATGAA